CATTTCTTCGCGATTGAAAAATTGTCTTGTAACACTGTCAATATGCCACGCCGCTAACATTCACGGAATAATTTCTACTTATGCTGCGCATACTCATGTTTAAATTAAATAAATCACCGTCCACTTTCAGCCAAGTAACAAGAAATAATAAGAAAATAGAAAATAAAAAAAAAAAAAATAGAGGAGTTTCAATAAATCAATGATCGATTTATTAAAGAAAATAATATAGATTAGAAACCGCTAAAAAAAAAAAAAAAAAAAAAAATAACGGAAGCAATTGAGAACGAAAGCAAGTAGTTTTGAATTTAAATAAATTCAAAAAGATTGCCAGGTACCCAAGATCTTACCTTGACCGATAAGTGTCTATATTATCCATTTTTGCGCTCGAAGAAATGTAACTATGTGCCTCCTCGCTTGAATGTTCAAGTTTCTGCTATTTAAGAGAACGTTCGGACGTTCGTAAAGTTATGAAAACCGTGAAATACCTGCCACGACTGAATTTCACACTTCTCTAAGGCGCATGCCTTCCTCTCGTTGATGTTTTCTACACTGTCACATTTCGCATCATGTTGAAATCGCTGACGAGAAAGGAACGTTATCGCGGCAATCGCGCGCAAATAAAACGTGCGTGAATACGAGACGTGTGTTTACCGCAATAAAAATCGACAGTTGCTGGTCAAAGCGATTGGGCCGGTTAAACAACCTTCCGCCACTCTCCGTATGTCCACTCATCTCCCTCCCGGAGACAATCTTTTAAAAATAGTGTGCAACAGAAAACTATTGTCTCTGACTGACGCCGGGGCTGACGGGGAATATTTTATCGTGGCAACCTTTGATCCGCGTCGCGGAGTGTAAAATTGATTTTCTCAACTTGCCTTCGTTTTCTCGGTAAGCCGGAATTTCCATCTCGCTCGGGAACAATGAGCGGGACTCTTGAAGGGGAAAAAAAAAAAAAACTCGTATAAATCGCGCTGTGAAAATGGTTCACGTCAATCGACTATCTTCGTCACGCGAAAGATGGAATAATCTGGGGACTGATTGACCGGATTGTGGAAACATCAGGGCTGAGTTCAGAAACTCTGGATGTATCATTTTATCCGTGTTTTTCGTCGAATATTAAACAAGGATAAAACGATATATCTGATGCACTCGGGTGTTATTTCTGAACGCACCCCAGTAGTGTCGTGTATTAGGTTTAGAATACGTAGCACGCTGTATACAATTAGATGAAGCAGCCGAGCCGAGCAGCCGAAATTCAATGTATGTATCTCGCACGAACGGCTAGGAACGGTGACTGAAAATGGGGAATAAACAGACGCGCGTTTATAATCGCAGTCGGACGTAAATAACAGCGGCGGGGACACAATACGCGAGGTTTATCGCACGGCGCGTATTAATGAGTTTGTTTTCGAGCGCGACGCTCGCCGGCCGATTCGATCCTTCCTTTTTTTTTCCCCTCTTTTTCTTTCGGCGTCCGTTATGCGCGCGGGAATTTATTAAGGTACACGGAGGAATTTATGCGCGGTCGTTATTCGCCGGCCGGCGGTACCGTCACGTTCGCGAGAGGCATACGGACGTTAATGAAGTTCCGCGGTGTTTTCCCTGATCCCCCCCCCTCCCTCCCTCTCACTCCCTTCCGGCCACCATCATGCGAAAAATGAAGCTGTGACTCACACGGAGATCGGCGTAACCGATGTGTACGTGCGTCGCGACCACGTGTGTCGATTCCGAGAAAAATCAATCTTCCGCGAATCCGCCCGCGCGGTCGCGCGGCGGACAACAAAGAAGCGTGACGGTATCTGTAATCCTCGAAACAACACACGCGAGGGAAGAAACGTTAAGCTTCATATGTACGTATATATATATATATATATATATTAATGAGACTCTAGATACACTTCGCAAGACGCGAGACGTCTTCCACGCAAGCAAAATCGTTACTATGAAAAGTATCCTATAACTGTGATGACTATACGTTCTTTATTTTAAGGACAGTCCTTTATTTCAGGTAGCTGTCCTTTAGATTTACTTTTCTTAAAACTCAATTTTGTCCAATCCTTTATCTAACAAGAAATTCTTTCCTAGAATTCCTCAGTTTTTCAATATCAGAATTCCTCAGTTTTTCAATATATAATCTTATACACGAATGAGTAATTTTTAAAATGTATACGTAAGAAAATCTCATAATGTATAGATTCCTGAGTTACAAATTTGAAAACATGTAGAAACGAAAAACCCTAAAATTTTCAAATTGATCCTTTATCTTCTCAAAGAAAATATAATATATACTGTGCTCAATAATATTCGCGTTCCTTGGCATCTTCCTATATTTTCCAATCACGTTAAGCTACAGAGAGATTTCTTCAGCCTGTTTTTATTTCATTCATAAGTTGTTATTCTACACTACGAGGAAATCATGCTACGAACTGAAAGTTGAAAAAAAAAAAAAAGAAACTTTGAGATACCGCGGGTATTTGTAAATAAAGACATAAGAGGATTTAAAAAAAAAAGGAATTAAATGAAAGGATGAAAAATAGACGAACACTGTTTTATATACAAGTGTACGTTAAAGGTTCAAGTGCGACCGTAATTCTTTTTTCATCGCCACTTTTAGGAGCGATTAATCGAGCGACAAAGTACCATTCAATCGACGGAACGTTGACCGTGCTCTCAATACCCAATTTTTGCAACTAAACAGATGGCCCGGATCATCGCAAGCTCCAGCATCGCGCATGAATCACGTGATTAGACACCCCTCCCTCCCTCCCCCCGCCTCTCGCCACGAATATTATACGCGATGATACCTCTCGGGCATCTCATACAACAAACTTTGAATTGAAGTTTATTATACTGGAAGGTCATTATACCGCGTCATCTAGTTATTAGCTGAATACCGGTTAACGATGCTATATAGGGTGTTGAAGAAAAAGCGTTCGGTACTTGGAAAATGTGTAGCGTTTACCGACTCGAATGTTTAAACAACAAAAATGCTTAGTTAACGTATATCTAAAGGCTGATCTTACAAGAGTCGGAACGGTTCTGGTTATAAATGTGACTTACTAGTTTTTATTCGGCGCACAGCGCGTAAATAAATGATTATCTTATCGCCTTGCTTCAATACTTAAATATTACACTTTGGAGACAGTATTTAAAACAGACTTTCGCCGAAAAATGAATAGGACATCTGATGAATCGTCTGCCCCCTTCCCTTCCCCCTCCACTCACCTCTTCCCTTTTCCAAATCTTGTGTCTTTCATGAATTGAAGTATACGTATACTCGATATATTTATCGAGACGAAAAAATTAGTATACAAGAGATAGAATGGTGAGCGAGGAATGTCTGCAGGATAATGTAAAGAAAAAGAATTTTCGTAAAAAAAGTGTGAATCGTGAGAATAAAACGGCACTTGGAACACCTTTCAAATATCAAAATAAAAATACGATAAGATAATCCTTTGTTTATACGCTGTATGCAATAAACAGATACGAGCCATTATGAGCTCGAAATATCACTTTACATATATATAATAATTATGAATAATGTTTTAATTTATCACGTATAATTATGCCCGTTTCGATGCAGGAAAATAAAAATAAGTGCCAGCTATTTAAATTACTTGAGATAAAACTAAGAAAAGACGATATTAATTTTAATTTGCTATATATATATATAGCATCTAAAACATGTCATTAAAATAGATTCGTGCGCATTCAGCGTATTCAGCGATTAAAAAAGAAATTAATATCGTTTTCTCAGTTTTTCCTTTGCATTTAAATGACTAACATTATTTTTATCCACTTATGTCAAGTCAGGGTTTTTTGCCGCATGCGTTTTTTATCCAACGTCAATGTCACGCGGCAGCCTGACACGTGTACACGATGTACCTCGTACCTATCCAGCCTATGCATTATTTAAATCTATATATTATTCGGTCGGCGTAGAGATAGATATTTAAAAATAGCAAACAAGAGATGGTCCAGCGCGCGTTTATGCGAACACTGTTACGGATTCTCGACCAAGCGCATTCATCGCGAAATCTTCGCATAGATCTTCGCAATATTATCGTAACATTACGGAAGCACGTGCAAGAGCGCGTTAAAATAAACAAATATAAAGTCCAGCACGCGTACTCGCGCTCCCCCCGGTGTTCGCTCGTAGCGCTAAATATGAATATTATAGTCCGCCCACGCGATAACATCGTGTTTGCACGTCTTAATACAACGCGCCAGAGAAGCGGACGTCGCTCGCTAAATAGCACTAAGTAACGGCCGGGGCCCTCGCGAGCGCCTTCGCGGAAGATTTCGGTGTTTATTTCCCGTTTCTTTCCCCCGCGATCAGACTTCAATTAAAAGAATCTCACGCGATAAGATAAGCCGCGAGTACGCGTTTCCGATGTATCGAAATAGGAACGGGTCCGCACGCGCGCGCGCGCGCGCGTTTATCATTCCCGCTCGCGAATCGTGCGCGAAGCGGGTCGAAAAAGTGCCTATCTGAGAAGCGAGAATTTTACCGGCTCGCCTCGGACGAGAAGCGGACGAGATTCGTTTCTCGGGGGGATGCCAACGAGACGCCCGCGTCGCGAGCGAAGCCGAATCGTCGATGGAATTCCACCCGTGTGACGCGCCTCGCTCGAAGTCAAGTACGCCACGAGTGTGACACGCGAGGGAATATTCCTCACAAGAATTTCCGCATATCGGCGACTGGCGTTCGTCCAATCGGCGGCCGCGGCGATTTCTCGCGCGCCTGCGAAGAGACCCAGCGAGGAACTCTTCTCTCGTGTTTGTACAATACGCAGCAGCGGCGACGACGGCGATTTCCCCGCGCGCGTCCCCATTGCTTCGGCGACTCGCGCGATCCAACCTGAGAGAGATGTAGTACGAGGATAAGTGTGAGAGAGAAAGAGATGTGCGGATATAGAAAAAGAAAGCGTGTGAGAGATTGGCGACGAGAAAAAGGCAGGGGGAAAGGACGGTTTTTCGATATGCGATATTTCTTTTACCTGCGACTCGTGTCCAGCATGGTAATCCAGTCCCGCGTGGATAAACGGAGCGGGCGGGGGAGAACTATCTCAACATCCCCGATTCTCAGAAGACTCTTGACGATTGGATTTTCTCGTGGGAGAACGGAGAAACTTCCGGATAATCGGACGGCACTATTTGCTCTTTCGCGGGGGTGCCCCCGGAACCGACCGAAGTTCCCCGCGCGCACACGCGCGCGCGCAGTGGCAGCGACAACCGGAAAACGAAAATCACACCACCACAGCCGCTTGCAATTCCAGGAACATGTGCAAAACAGGCTATGCGGAGAGACGCTCGGGTCGGACGAAAGGGCAAGGGGGAAGGGAGAGACGGTCGATAGGAAAAAGGTCGGCAGAAGAGAGAAAGAGAGAGAAATGCGGAATCCGTCCGATATATTCCGGCTATTTTCCGTTTTCCGCGAAATCTCGCGATTTTACGCGCCTGCGACCGCGTGCCGCCTCGCGGCGCTTCGGTGGCTTCGGGGAAATTCGCGAACAGCGGCAGGTACGCGTGCCGATCGCCGATCGCCGATCGGAAGACCGATCAGTAAAACGATAACAGAGCAGCAACGTGCCAATAATCGTGCCAATAATTAATGCCGCTACCGCCGCCACCGTTTCCTTCCTCCTCGCTCGATTCGCCTTCTCGATGTGGCATGCGCGCGCGCGCGCACAACTCAATTCGATCACTCGCGTGCGATACAACCGAACATAAGCAAAGGCCGCAACATACTGAGCAAACACATGATCCCGGCGGGGCCTAGTGTCGACGCTCGCTGCGCAGGGGGCGCCACTGCGACAGCGTTCGCGGGATCGCCGAGCGCGCGCGACGTACTTCGAAACGATCCGCGTGATCGTGATCGATCGCAATCGAACGCGATCTTCTCTCTCTCTCTC